TTCCGATTTATGACAAAGCAATTCCACAAGCAGCAAAGGCAAAAGCCCTCCACTCTTCTTGAATCCTTCTCCTATTATTCCCTTCCTTTTCCCTTCTTTTTTCATATTGTTCTCCTCCATCCTCAATTACTGCTCACTTCCAAGAAAAGCTGAGTCTGCACACACCAGGCCCTGAGCTGCCACAGCAGGGAGCAGTCCCCACGGGCGCACTCTGTACCCCCACCCAGCAGAGGCAGAGCTCAGCCCCACGGCAATCTGTCTGAAGGGACCTGGGGAGCAGCTTGCTGGAGCAGTCCTGCTGGACTGAGGCGGATGTAGACAGATAGAGGGCTGCAGGGAGTAGAGAGCGTGAGAGCCAACCAGACACAAAGAAGCAAACACACACGTGAGGGTAGACTGGACGACAGCAGGCGGCCGGGCCTGGCCTCCCATGAGCTAGTTCAACCCTCGTGGCAACCCCAGTGGAATAGTCCACGCCAGCACAATGAGCCAAATCCTGAGCTCATTGTAATGGCTTCTGTCCCAAACCTGAGTCACTGGGGATTCCACAGAGTTCTGAGAGAACCCTTTATGCATTTCCAAAAACAAACTGCTTGATGCTGTCATGGAAAACCTGGATCTTTGCATTCTACGGTTTCACTATGGATTACATCCAGGTCACAACCTAAGGAAGACAGCTGGCAAAAGCACCCTGCTGGCCGATTACCCAGCTTTTATAATGAATCCCAGAGCGCTGTGAACTGATGTGTGCTTTTGGCTCTGCCAAGTCCTGGACAAGTCCTCACCAATGAAGACCAATCAGCCTGTGATTTATTCTGCAGGGGAGCCTGAGAAGCCACCTGCAGTCAAGGCTCAGCTGTGCCTCCGGAAAGGAAAGCAATGGAGAATGCGTATGTCCAGGGGAAGAGGGTTGAAAGAAGTTCTTTGCTTCCTTGTCAGTTCAAATGCTAGCTTCTGCTTCAGTCACACCAAAGTCACGGGACTGCTCTATAGCCTTCAGCCCCAACACGGGCAGGCTTTTAAGGGGCCAGGGAATAGCACTAGACAGCGTAGTCATGGATGATAGAACAGGGCCAATTCTAAAGATCAGAAAAGACACTCCTATTCCTTAGAATGCAGCAATTCAAGGGAGCATAGAAAATATACTACAACTTGACAAGAAAACCAATATTTTAATTATCGTATATAGCTACCACTTATTATTTGCTATGGGCCAAGCCCTGTGTTTAAGCCTTTCTCATATATTATGTATTGTAATTTAATCCTCAAAACCACCCTGAAGTATGTGCTACTTTTATACCCATTTTGCAAATGAGAAAACTGAGGCTTAGAGAACTGAGGTCAATTTGTCAACATTTCACAGTCACTTTAAGGTGCGGCCAGGCCCGACCCAGGGCCAGGTGAGGCTGGAACTTTTCACTGCTACTGGGAGTGGGTGCGGAGCACCAAGGGCGTTCATGCACCAGGGTTTCAGAGCATCAGCTGGGTGCCTGCCTAATGGGCCCTGAAAGCAAACCCTGCTATCTGGGTCAACGCAACAGGAAGAGTTGTGCTGTATTACTACTATTTTTTAAGTAACCCAGATCTTGAGATTTCCACTGAAGACGCGGATTCTTTCATACCCAGCTTCTAAAATCAAAATGTCAATATTTCAATGATTCACTTTTTTATAGACGATAAAGGGCTATAACACCTGTGGCCTATTCTTTAAAATTAGGTGTGGTAAAGGTATATGCTTACAATATCTTGCAGTTTTTCATCCAGTTGCATATTACAAAACTGCCATTTTTGCGAAAATGAAAGTTGTTAGAATAAACAGTCTGAGTATATTTCCAAAGAATATCCTTTTGTTGCTCTGGTAATAGCCTCCTTTCTCACCATTTGTTTTGGTGGACAGGATCCAGGCAGGGCCGAGAGAAAGGGGGCAAGGGGAGAGGAAAGAGCGATGCTCACAGCTGCAACAAGTCCTTGGCAAGGCTGGAGCCGACCAGATGCTACTGCAGATTGGCCAAGAGGACGGAAAGCAAGTCAGCTGCTTCAGCCACACAAACTTTCTCAGCCACAGATTCAAGGACCATGGCTGTCATTTATTTTGGCTTGAACTGCCTGGTGTGGAACCCACGAGGGAGAAAGAGCCCACTGATTATCCCTTACAGACAGACGCCTCCCTGCAACCCTAACATGAGAGTCGGCTGACTAGTGCTTAGTTCTTCTTTCCCATGATTCCTTTTTTTTTGAGATTTTATTTATTTATTTTCAGAGACAGGAGAAGAGAGGGAGAGAAACATTGACTGGTTGCCTCTTGTTCACCCCCAAATGGGGACCCAGCCCGCAACCCAGGCATGTGCCTTGACAAGGAACCGAACTAGCAACCTTCTGGTTCGCAGGCTGGCACTCAATCCCCTGAGCCACACCAGCCAGAGCTCCCATGATTTTTTTCTCAGGGATGCTGCACAGCTGGAAGGAGAAAAGCAACAGCTTCTCCTGCACTTCAGTGGGCCCTAGAGAGACAGATAGTCTGAGCATACAGGAATCTCTGCCTCCTGCCAATTTAAAATTTTGAGTAATTTCAGACTTTTTAATATCCTATGTGTATGAATGGGGAACATAAATGGTGAGGGTGGGGAGAAAGTTAAGATTTCTTTTAGAAAATCTAAACTTTGGAAAAGACATGTGACCAACAGATTTGTACCCAGAGTATGCTTCTACTTTTTTCCTCCTCAACCCTTCTTCCCAGAGGCCTGATGCATAGAGACAGAGGAAAAAAAAAAGGAAGAAAGACGAAAGGAGAGAAGTCAGAAATAACTTACTGGAGTGTGAGAACAATACTGAAGACAGGTACTAATCTTGCCACTTCTGTGAAGTAGCAAACAAGAGCACCGAAAGGTGTGTTGGACTAACCTGCTTTCTTAAGAGGTTGAATTCACTGGACTAAACACCTTATTAACAGCTGCATGCAAACAGTCTTCAGGATGGAAGGGTGTCCACACATGGCTTCCGCCTGACCATACGACAGGCTGTGGTGGTGTGGCCCAGAATGGCCACCCCGTACTGTAGATGTCCACTGATGTGCTAGAAGGCACCCTTTCTCAGGGTGACAAACCCATTCCACCTGCATACCAGCATACTGATAAAATTCACCGTAAACACATAGGAAATTGCCCCTCTAGTCAACCAGAACTCTTCAACAGGGCTAATAAATTGTGTACTGACTTCCCTTCATCTGTGTGTTCATAATGACTTTCTAAAAGCCTTTGGCAGTACTTCTCCATGGAAGTTCAAGGATGCGCAGGTGCGCGCAGGTGCACGCATGCACGGGCCGCAGAGGCGCTGTGTGTCGGGGGCACTTCTCCGACAAGACAGATGAGTGGGCTTTGAAACCCACCTTCTTTAACATTTCTGGGAGGCGACATGACAAGCAGAAGGGGATAAACTTCAAATTTCACAAGTGAGTCAAAAAGGGGACAATGAGTGTCAAAGAATCAACATCTAAGATTATAAAGGTCAAATTTTCCAGTCTCCTATTTTTCAGAAGAATTCCAGGGTGCAGAAAGGTGGTGCATTTATCTCAAGTAAAACTTCAAGTTAGTAGCAACGCTAAAAATTAGAATCTTGGCTTCCCAAATTCTGTGACCGCCTGTGGGTGTCGGGGTCATCCCTCAAAGGGACGAGATTGTGAGGTGTGCCCTGAGTGCGTTCCCCATGCAAACAGACCGGGATTATGGAGCAGGTCCTCTGCCATTTCTCTGGGCCTATTACCCTTCTTCCGCCCACATACACACATGTGCACCCATCCTGCCCCCGGGGCAAGATGTGAGGAACGAAAAACATCTTATCAGCTATTTGGGAAAAAACCCAAAACTCTTGTTTGATCTGTTTCCTTGGAAGCCAGCCCTGCTGAGCTCAAGAGTTTGCTATAAGGCAGACTAGAGGGAATTCATTTAGCTGTTTCTTCACAAGCCCGGACACCAGTCTCAGTGTCTGTCCTCACTGCCGAGGGGTTCTGTGTGTGCGGCTTGTGCCCTTCAGTAAGGCTTGTAGGCGGTTACTGCTTCTCCTGTCAGAGTTCAGGTTAATAACTAACTTGGTTATGATTGTTTGAAAAATCAGAAAGTCTATCTCTCTGCTTCCTTGAGGATGTCTTCACTGCTGTGTGTGAACTTGTGTGCACACACGCACGTGCTTTTCCGCCCTCTAGAACACGCCCCTTGAGCCTAGGCAGACTGCTCCCCCACCTCCCCTTGGTTCAGTATCCACCTTTCACAGCCACGTGGCAAAGTCCATGAAAGAACTGGTGGCCTTGGAAGCTTTCTTGCAGCCCACAGCCTCCCATCCGGATCACTATGAAGAGCTCATACTTTTCTCTCCACTGATTTCTAACCAGCTCATTAGTGAGAAATCCCTGGAAAGTGGAAGTTAGTTTACATTTTCTCATTTGCATAGAACATTCAACAGGCTCCAGGAAACAGCTTAAACCAGGACATTCAAGTTGGAGCAGTTGATACTAATCCCAAGCCTGCTTCTTCCCCCACCAAAGCTGAAACCATCCTGACTGTGCCTGGGGCTGACAGCCTGTGGCAACCGCCCGGCTCCTGAATGATATCTCACACACACATTCCTTCTGCATAGAGTGCTTGCTGCAGGTGGGACCCAGCTCTCTGGTGGATGCACTGCATGGGAAGCATGCTTTTAATTTAGTGGGAAAAGCAAGCAGGAGTAGTTACTCCAATAAAACCCAACAACTTAGAACCAGAGGAAATAGCGATGAAGAGGAGCACATGAGAGCAGAGAACAGACACCTCTCTCAGAGGAGGGTAAAACAGGGAAAGGAGAGTGACCAGGGCAGGACGCTCATGTTGTTGAGAACACTCTTTCCAAAGTCAACCTCACCAGACAGAAGAGGGTCTTCAAAACCAGCAGTAAAGGAGTAAGCAAGTGTGTGCCCTGCACACGCAGAGCCCATCCTGCTCTCGGGCCCCTTCCCTCCCTCACACACTTACCTGCGATTCCTTGCAACAGCCCGCAGACGTTGAAAATACTTTTCTTCATAATGCTCTGTACACACATGGTGAAGACAGACACCAGGGCCACTGTGCAGAGGATGAAGATGCCGAAGGCCAAGAAGATCGCTGTGGCCTGCCAGAAGCCACTGGCAATCTCACCGAAGTTCTCAGCGTAGGGCCCGCACACTGTCACTTGAGTGGCATTCTGCACCCTGGACTTGCGGATGCAGCGGTTATAGATGCCCAGAGTGGGGTGGTAGGGCTCCGAGGGGCCGCTCAGCTCATCGGGCTGAGCGCTGCCGCGGGTCTTGGGTTTTCCAATCAGCCAGACTTCGCTCATGAAGGCAATGAGCTCTGCAAAAGCCACCACAATACTCAGGAGGGTCCAGAGCATCGAGCGACAGGTGACAATAACATGACACATATTGGTGTTCGAGGCGGAAAAGAAATCAGAGGAATCCACGGGTTACTAATAAAAGAAGCCGGTGGGAAAGGAGGCTCAGGCGGCCTCAGAAGGCAGTCGCTGTTGGGGGGCACTCACTCCCACAGCCGGGGGCTCCTTTCTCCCAGCCTCTGGGGGCGCCGTCTGGGTGTCATGCTGCCATGTCGGAGCTCCGGAGCCTGGCCTCCAGCCTCACCTACTGGAGAAAGAGAGGCGTCGGTCAGCAGCGCCAGGCCCCGCCCCTGCAGCGCAGCGCCGGCAAGGCAAGTTTGCCGGCCCCAAACCCAAGGGTGAGCTCTGGCTGCCCCGCCGCCCCACGGAGGTGAACCGCCCCGCGCAGCTGCCCTTAAGGCAGCCTTCCACTCCCACAGCTGACCCTTCCCGCCCAGGCTGCCCGCAGGTCCCCGCAGGAACTTGCTGGAGCAGATCCTGGTCCCCAGCCGGCACGCAGCCCTCCTCAGCGCATTTGTTGGTCTCCTTTGTTTCCGGGTCTCCCTTTCCATGCTCTTACAAATGACTGGCGGTTCTCTTTATCTCTAGGCAGCGCGACAGAGCGCTCCCCTCCCCCCAACCGCACCCACTCCAGGGCCGCCCAACGGTACGGGGGCTCCAGCTCCATCACCTTTTTAGAACAGCACAGGGTTCCAGACAGATCTAGATATAAATGGCGGTGAACCATCAACAGACTGGATACGCTTTTTAAAGTTTATGGGGATTTTTGCTGGCTGTTTTGATATCAGACCAACTAAGTTTTCAGACCAACTAAGTTTTGAAAAAAACTTACACCAAGTTTTTGCTCAACAGTAGAGAGCAGCAACACCTAATTTTATTCCTGGGAATCAAATTACTAGCAGGGACATAAGAGAATTTGCTTCATAGGTAAATCAGAATATAAAAAGAAACAATGCCATAAAAATAAAATAACACATTGCTCCCCAGACTTACTTTCATATGTTTCCCAGAGGGTCACTTTTAGACGAAATAAACTGTACTAATTAAAATGCAAGAAGAAAAAACTCGGAAGAAGAGTTATAACTTAGTCACTTGGGCAAATTAGTCATAAATGACCGTTGACTGCATAGCTTGACCACTGAGTGGACTTGCTGACAACAGAAACTTGCCTGTGAAGAATGAAGTGTCCCAATTCATCACACGTGCCTCTGCCTGGGCTTCCAGTCACCCCAGGTCTGGAACTCAACATGCCCATTGTTTCTGGTCTCAAAAGGACTCATTCTGTTCCCAAGGACAAATGGCTTCATTCCCAGAGGGCTTTGCTCCAACAGCTCAAATCTCCTTCAGAAGGGCCTGAACCCTGAAAATGGGCCACGGCACTCATCCGCAGCCCCCTTTTCTGCCCTCTCTCCAAGGTCAGGAAGAACTGCACAGTTCACATCTAACATCTGGGCACATGGCTGTGTTCTGAACAATTAGATCTTATGAACCCAGGTCATGTCAACTGCATAAGAACTACAAAGAACCCGTAGCATGTTGGCAGCAGGGTGCGGCAGGGAGTTAGGGAAGATGGAGGAAAGTGGGGAAATAAGAAAGCTCAGTGTCAAAGTTCCTACCCCATGCCGGCAGATATCTAGTGAGAGAGTACTTATCTCATAAAACACCACACACTTAAACGTCCTCATACCACTGTAGTTATACAAGATGCTGTTTTGGGAGGAGGGGGTGTGTTAAACTGCAAGAGTTTGGAAGCCACCTGGTCTCGGCTCCAAATCCAGTTGCACCACTGTCTGGACACTTGATGTCTAACTTCTCAGAACTCAGTTTCCTCAGCTTTCAGCTTCCTCATCTGCCAGATGGGGACAGTAAGGGCACCCTGCCTCACAGTATTGTGGGGAGTAAACAAGAACCTGTTAAAGCACCTTGCTCAGCGTGGGACACCGTAATGCTCAATAACACCAACTCCTTTTCCTGGGGAGCTTTTCTCCTAACATAGAGGACACTGGTCAGACAGCAGTTTAACCCATGGGGTTGCCCAGCAGATAACAGAAACTAAGCCATTACACGCAGAGGAGGGTTAGGCACAGGCTATTTAGAGATGAATGAGGTCACTTGTATCTAAGCCTCCCTGGTGGGCTTTCAGGGTGGGATCCTGGTCTGACTTCCTGCTTCCCCACTCCCTGACCAGCTGCCAAATTCAACTGTGGAAAATAAATGAGCATTAGGCCAGAAGTATAGTTTACTCCCACTCACTTGTTGCACCCCGCCTCCCCAAATATCACCACACAGAAATGCCTTTTGAAGAAAAACTTACCAATACAAAAGAGCTTTGGAGGAGACTGTTTATAATGAAAATGACCATTTTGAATAAGAGCAAGAAATCAAGCCATGAAGACTCCTGGGGAGTCCCCAAGAAGCACCCACCCACCTGGATCATGAACACTTTGAGCCAACAGGTGGAGGGCCCAGTTGTTAGGAGAAAATGAGGCTTCTACAGAGCCTTCCAATTTGATTAGAAAACCAATTTACTGGTGTGCCCATCCAGTCTCCATCCCTGCTCCTCTTCTGTTTAATGGCAATTTTTCAATGTGGTGGAGAGGTTTTATATTGAAACCTCTCCATATTTGCCCCCCTGTAGAACCTCAGGACTCAGCTACAACCTCTCAAGTGACTTGGATGTTACTGAATATGCCAAGTGCCCACTGTTCGGGTCAGCGAGTTCTGCTCAGAGCCAGGAATGCAATTAGGTTGCAACTTTGAAGAGAAAGGATGTGAAACTTTAAAAGGGAAGATGGCATACGCAGCCTCAGCAAAATGGTCAATGCCAAATTTAAGGCAGGATTATTTAGGAACTTACATATTTAAGCTTAGAATATATAGTTCACTGACCATTTGTGCTAAAACAATCCCCCATTCACTGTACCGAACTCTTACATCCATGCCACAGAGGCTAGAATGAGGCTTTATTCTTCTTTGTTTGGTCTCCCCAGCTAGTTTGCTAATCATGACTCTAAGAGAAACAGCCAGGATATACGAGGCTGACTGACAGAAACTGAGCATCCAAGGAAAGTCCTCGGGTTGGAGGACCACAGGAAACCTCTAAACAGAGCACAGAAAAGGGCTCTGGCATGGTCTGCATCCTGTACAGTGTCCCAGTTTGGCCACGTCCCCTATGCAGGGAGGGGTGCCTGCCTGCTGAGACAGCATCCGTATCAACAGGGAAACAAATCCTTGTCAGAGATCTTGTTAACCACAGGGATCCGGGCACAGAGTTCCTTACATGGAATCCACTCCTATTCGGGGTTAATTCCTGCTTCTGCAAAGCTTGCTTAATAAGAACAGGCCTTCACTGACATCCCATATAAAAGTCTTCTACCCACAGGCTACTCAATACATTTCCCCTCCAGGACACCTGACTTACTACCACCACCTCTCTGACAGTGGTGAATAATATGGACAGCCTCCTAACTTGCAGAAAATGATGCTATGATTGTCCTAATGATCCACTGGGTAAAGCCTCCCATTAAGTAATAAGGAAAAACCCAAACAAATGAGAATTCTGCAGAAACCCCCTCGTTTCTGGCAGTAATACTATAGTCAGAAAATGGACAACAGAGGAGTTGATGAATGGTTGGTCCCCGGGGTTGATTATATATGTGTTCGCCACAGGGCCCTGATACTTAAAGAAAGGTGGAGGTGCTGCACAGAGCTGGACCAGTCCGGTGATGTCCACCACCACGGGACCTCCCTTTGGCAGCTTCCTGCAGTCGGTGAGAAGGGAAGAAAGTGCACGTGAGGAGAGCCACCCAGTGCCAGCTGGCTAGGAGATTCCCGAATGGAAAATGGGAGCCAAGCTGACGTCCACCTAGAAAGGCGGAGGTGAACCCTAACGCACTTCAATCAAAGCTGCATCAGAAGCCTGCCCTGCCCACTCTTACGACAGCAGCACAGCTGTCAACGAGGCCGTGACAGACACAGTGAAGGACACTACCTTGCTTATTCGCCTGGGTTCTGTTTTCCACCTTGGTTATTAAAATTTGCGAACACAGGTGTAAGTTGAAAAGAACAGACAATGAACACCCGGACTGAACATGGCCAGCACTCTGCCAGGTCTGCTCTGCCCCTCTGCGGTGTGTGTGCTCTCACAGTGACAAACACACGTGTTGTTTCTGGACGGTTTGAAAACGAGACGCAGATGTCTTGACACGCCACCTCCAAATACTTGAGCATACATCTCCTAAAAATAAGGACATTTTCCTATAAAACCACAATAAAATGAACACACCCAAGAAAACTGACAATACTTCCCTTATAGTCAAAGCCTAGTACACACTCAAATTTCCCTACCCAGCATTTTTTATAGCTATTTTCTTAAAACCATGACACAGTCAAGGCTCATGAATTGCATTTGGTTATGTGTCTTTAGTTTCTTTTAGTCAAAACAGTCCTTCTGACTTTAATTTGCCCCTTGTTGTCTGCACTTTTCCGCGACACTGACTTTTTTTTAAGCTGCCAGTCCAGTTGTCTTAACCCAACAATCTGGGTTTGTCTATTTCCTCACGAGCCATTTAAAATTGTTCTCTGTGCTGTTTGATAGAAGCTAGAGATTAAATCTAAAGGCTATTTTGGATTCAGTTTAAATATTTTTGGGAGAATCCTTGGTAGGTAAGATGCTGTGTAATTCCTGCTGTATCATATTTGGGAGGAATATGACTGGTGCTGAATAATCCTTCAGAATCAGAATAACTCTACATATTCATACATATGCATGCATACATTACGTGTGTGTGTGTGTGTGTGTGTATGTCTGTCTGTTCATCTATCTATCTATCTATCTATCTATCTATCTATCTATCTGGAACAACATGCACAGGGTCCTCTCAGGTCCTAAAGAATCCAAATTATTGTGAGGAAGTGGTTGGAAGGCTGGTCTGGGCAGGATTCTGTTTTCTGAAGCACTCTTTGGGTGGATTCTGACACCACAGTTGAGAAGCTCTGTTCTGACAGATGCCATCACAGAAGCTAAAGAAGTCCTTAACCAAAGGAAATTTACTTCCAAGAAAGGTTTGCTGTGTGTTCTTTGAAATGGAGCCACATTTTATACATAACTTACGAAAACACAGAAAGCTCTGCAGGCCTAGGAAGGGAGCTACAACATAAAAGAGGCGGCCCTTCCTGGGAGGGTTTACGTGAAGCCGGAGAGCACGGGTTATTGAGAGCACGGGGATGAGGAGAGATCTGTGTGAC